CCAAATTACCTCCGCTCATGAACCCTGCTATGCTTGAAGCAAGCGAAGATCTGACAAATTTGTCTCACTTGAACGAGCCCGCTGGTTTGTCTTGCTCCTAGGTGTTCGGAGTTGCTCTCTCCCAGCTAACGGCCCTTTGAAGTCCTCCAGGCTATAAAACTCCGCTACGCTCAGAAAGAGATATATACCTACAGTGGTATCGTTTTGATCGCAACCAACCCATTCGCCCGAGTCGATTCGCTGTACGTACCGCAGATGGTGCAGGTTTATGCTGGGAAACAACGTGCCTCACAGGCGCCTCACCTGTTCGCAATTGCGGAGGAAGCTTTCGCGTAAGAATCGTCCATCTTTTGCCTCTTTCTGGTCAGTTTTGCTCACATTTTACGCAGTGACATGCTCCGCGATGGAAAGAATCAGACGATTGTGGTCTCTGGCGAATCCGGAGCCGGTAAGACTGTGAGCGCCAAATATATCATGCGTTACTTTGCGACTCGCGAGTCATCCGATCAGCCTGGAAAATACACCACCAGCCGCGCAGAGGCAATTAGTGAAACCGAGGAGCAAATCCTAGCTACAAACCCGGTCATGGAAGCGTTTGGTAACGCTAAAACCACTCGCAACGACAATTCCTCCCGTTTCGGCAAATATATCGAGATCATGTTCGATGACCGAACGAATATTATCGGAGCTAAGATCAGGACGTATTTGCTTGAGCGGTCGAGACTCGTCTTCCAACCTCTCAAAGAGCGCAATTACCACATCTTTTACCAACTGGTAGCCGGTGCTTCCGACGCGGAGAAACAGGAGCTGGGTCTCTTGGCTGCCGAAGACTTTGAGTATCTAAACCAGGGCGGCACTCCAGTGATTGACGGTGTCGACGACAAGGCCGAATTTGAGGCGACCAGGAAGTCGTTGGCTGTGATTGGCGTGTCCAAGGAAGACCAGACAAGTATCTTCCGCGTTCTTGCCGCTTTGCTACACCTCGGTAATGTCAAGATCACAGCCACTCGCACGGATTCGTCAGTCTCGTCGACCGAGCCTGCACTTCTCCGTGCGTGTGAGATGCTTGGAATCGATGCTACCGAGTTTGCGAAATGGATCGTAAAGAAGCAACTTATCACGCGTGGAGAGAAAATCACCTCCAATCTGACACAGCAACAAGCTTTGGTTGTCAGAGACTCCGTCTCCAAGTTTATCTATTCTAGTCTGTTTGATTGGCTAGTGGACAAGATCAACCGCCGCCTTGCTACCGATGAAGTGCTTGAGCAGTTCAAATGCTTCATTGGTGTTCTTGATATTTACGGGTTTGAACATTTCGCCAAGAACTCCTTCGAACAATTCTGCATCAATTACGCCAACGAGAAGTTGCAACAAGAATTTAACCAGCATGTGTTCAAGCTTGAGCAGGAAGAATATGTTCGAGAAGAGATTGACTGGACATTCATTGACTTTTCGGATAACCAACCCTGTATCGATCTTATCGAAGCGAAACTCGGCGTCCTGGCCCTTTTGGACGAAGAGTCTCGACTTCCTATGGGTTCTGATGAGCAGTTTGTCACCAAGCTTCACCATCACTTTGCGGCAGACAAGCAGAAGTTTTACAAGAAACCCCGCTTCGGAAAATCTGCATTCACCGTCTGTCACTATGCAGTCGATGTCACTTACGAGTCTGATGGATTTATCGAAAAGAACCGTGACACTGTGCCAGATGAACATTTGGAAGTGTTGCGCAATTCATCCAATCCTTTCATTAAGGAGATTCTAGACACTGCCGCGGCCGTTCGCGAGAAGGATTCTGCTGCTATGTCGTCTAAGCCAGTGGCAGCAGCCCCGGGGCGTCGGATTGGCGTTGCAGTCAATCGGAAACCCACGCTTGGTGGAATCTTCAAGTCTTCGCTGATTGAATTGATGCACACCATCAATAGTACTGAAGTTCATTACATCCGATGCATTAAGCCTAACGAAGCAAAGGAGGCTTGGAAATTCGAAGGTCCCATGGTTCTCAGTCAGCTGAGAGCTTGTGGTGTCCTGGAAACTGTCCGGATCAGTACTGCTGGATACCCAACCCGATGGACCTATGAGGAATTTGCCGTTCGTTACTACATGCTGTGCCATTCCTCGCAATGGACCTCGGAGATTCGGGACATGTGCCATGCAATTCTTCGAAAGGCCCTGGGAGATGAAAAGCAAGATAAGTACCAGCTTGGTCTTACTAAAATCTTCTTCCGAGCTGGTATGCTTGCATTCCTGGAGAATCTCCGAACTTCCAGGTTGAATGAATGTGCCATCATGATCCAGAAGAACCTGCGTGCTAAGTATTACCGCCGCCGTTACCTTGATGCTCGTGAATCAATTCTCACCACTCAGGCCTTCATCCGGGGTTTCTTGGCCCGGCAACATGCCCATGAGATTCGCCGAACCAAGGCTGCTACTACGATCCAGCGGGTCTGGCGTGGCCAGAAGGAGAGGAAGCGGTACACTCAAATCCGCAAAAATTTCATTCTATTCGAGTCTATTGCCAAGGGATTCCTGTGCCGACGCAACATCATGGACTCTATCAATGGAAATGCGGCTAAGGTCATTCAACGTGCTTTCCGCACCTGGCGTCAACTCCGGGCCTGGAGACAGTATCGCCGCCAGGTTATCACTATCCAAAACCTCTGGAGAGGCAAAGAGGCAAGAAATGCTTATAAGAGACTTCGCGAGGATGCCCGTGATCTCAAGCAGATTTCTTACAAGTTGGAAAATAAGGTGGTTGAGTTGACCCAGTATTTGCAATCTCTCAAGCTCGAAAATAAAACCTTGGTCTCACAACTGGACAACTACGATGCCCAATTGAAGTCATGGAGAACCCGGCACAATGCCTTGGAGGCTCGCACGAAGGAACTTCAGGTTGAAGCAAACCAGGCCGGTATCACCGCAGCGCGGTTAGAGGCGATTGAAGAGGAGATGAGTAAACTTCAACAAAGCCACAGTGAAGCCCAGGCTACCATCAAGCGCCTCCAAGAAGAGGAGAGAATCTCCCGCGAGGCTCTTCAAGCTTCTAACGATGAGTTGGAGCGTCTCAAGACCTTGGATGCCGAACATGATAAGGATAAGACTGCTCTCCGGCAGCGGATTTCCGATCTCGAGGAACAGCTCGAGATTGCCAAGAGATCTGTGCCTTTGAATGGTATGAACGGTGATGGTCTACCCAACGGTGGCGCAGTCCAGCCTCCTACCCCGGGCTTGATCAACCTGGTATCTTCAAAGAAACCTAAGCCTAAGAGACGTAGTGCCGGCGCTGAAAGGATCGACACGGATCGTTTCAGTGGTGCATACAACCCTCGGCCTGTTTCGATGGCGATTACCCCTGGAGCTATCGCTGCCCGTCAAAATGCGGCAATTTCTCCTGGCATAGAGTCAGTCGAGGTGGAGCTTGAGAATTTGCTTTCGGAAGAGGAGGAATTGAACGAAGAAGTCACCATGGGCCTTATCCGCAACTTGAAGATTCCGCTCCCAACTTCGACACCGCCACCAACGGAAAAGGAAGTCTTGTTCCCAGCATACCTGATCAACCTTGTTACGTCGGAGATGTGGAACAACGGATTTGTGAAGGAGTCGGAGCGATTCTTGGCCAACGTTATGCAGTCCATCCAGCAAGAAGTTATGCAGCACGATGGGGACGACGCGATCAACCCCGGTGCCTTCTGGTTATCCAACGTGCATGAGATGCTATCCTTTGTCTTCCTGGCTGAGGATTGGTATGAAGCACAAAAGACCGAGAATTATGAGTATGATCGCCTGTTGGAAATTGTCAAGCACGACCTCGAGAGCTTGGAATTCAATATCTATCATACTTGGATGAAGGTCTTGAAGAAGAAGTTGTACAAGATGATCGTTCCAGCCATCATCGAGTCACAATCACTTCCTGGCTTTGTCACCAGTGAAACGAATCGATTCCTTGGAAAGCTTCTACCCTCCAACAATAACCCGGCTTACAGCATGGACAATCTCCTCAGTCTATTGAACGGTGTTTACAAGGCAATGAAGGCCTTCTACCTTGAGGACGCCATCGTCCTCCAGACCGTCACAGAGCTCTTGCGCCTGGTTGGCGTCACTGCTTTCAACGATCTTCTCATGCGACGTAACTTCCTGTCGTGGAAGCGTGGTCTGCAAATCAACTACAACATCACTCGTATTGAGGAGTGGTGCAAGAGCCATGATATGCCAGAGGGCACGTTGAAGCTAGAGCATTTGATGGTAAGTTTTCTTGTTCGATATTCATTTGGTAATTATACTAACGCCTTCACAGCAAGCGACCAAGCTTCTTCAGCTGAAGAAGGCTACTCTGAATGATATTGAGATCATTCAGGATATTTGTTGGATGTAAGTGGACCCTAGAAGTGTCTTTTCCTATGAGTTGCACAACTGACTTTATTACAGGCTGTCTCCGAACCAAATCCAGAAACTTCTGAACCAGTACCTGGTGGCAGATTACGAACAGCCCATCAACGGCGAGATCATGAAGGCCGTCGCTTCTCGTGTCACAGAGAAGAGCGATGTGCTCCTCCTGGCTCCGGTAGACATGGAGGACAGTGGCCCGTACGAGATCTCCGAGCCACGTGTTATTACTGCCCTGGAGACCTATACCCCATCCTGGCTCCAAACACCGCGACTGAAACGACTTGCTGAGATTGTGTCAGCGCAAGCGATGGCACAGCAAGAGAGGCTCGATTTTGACCATGGGATGATGGAGGACTAGACCTTTACTGTTGTATATTAGACTTGGGGATTTCCTGTGAGCTACGGATTACGACTTGCCTGGATTATCCATGGCCTTTGCGATACAGTGATGCGCATGATTTTCATTTGTTTTCAATTGCATATGACGTCTTGGCTTATAGACCAGAAGAGGTTGCTAAGTGAATTCCTGTAAATGAGCTTTCCCCTTTTAACATAAACGACTGCAATCTAAATACCATCGAAGGGCTCACTCGGTCCCATCGTGCAAGCTCACACTATTCATGCTCTCTTCTAGGCTCTTTTCGACTTTCGCTTTTTTTTTCACACTCCAATTTCTCGCGGAACGCCAGAGTGTATTCATCTGGATCCCACGAGAGAACCCTGGTTTCCATTTCCACCAACTTTCGAGCAACCAGTTGTTCCATTTCTTCTCTTTCCTTCTCATCCAATAAGCCCAGTCTCTTTTTCCATGCTCCCTCAATATCCTTAGTAGGCCCAAAAAACCGCGGGTCAATCTTCCGCCAGTAAATCTCATCAAATGCAAAGCTATGCATCACCGCATACATAATCCAGAACTGACCACTATCCCAGCTCTCATACATAGGACCTGAAAGTCGCTGGTCTTCTCTCAGCCGGCCTTTTTGGATTGCTGCGTCTTCGCAATCCTTCATCGCCTTAAGAAACGTCTTTAGACGGCGGTCAAACACCCTTGTCCAGTCCTCAATACCCTCTGACCAGAATTCAGGCTTCTCAATAAGCAACCACCAGGGAGGCGCATAGGAGAATTCAACGGGGGCTGCATACGTGAACTCCCAATCAACTAGCCCGGCAATTCGTGCAGGATTCTCATTGAGTAGTATATTAGCCGGCCGTAGATCATCACACCAGATTTTGAAAGGCCCTTTCTCGAGTAGGGGGTTCGTGAGTTTCTTCTCCCTGGCTAGCTTGCGAAAAAGCTTCCGTGCCACGAATTTTCGCCGACAGTCGTCTGCGGGATCTACGGGATCCACGCAGTCGTTTCTTTGATGAATCAAATGCTCGATGTTCATATCTGCAAGAACTTCCATGTATGATGAAGATGTGTCGAACGTAGTATTTACATCGGGAAGCTTCGACTGAGGTAAGCCTCCACGTTGGACAAGATCGTTCATGTTCATTGTTAAAGGCCGACGTGTGACGTCCCAAGTGAAATCGTCGATTTGGCTGAGCGATCCGATACGAGGCAAAGAGGGGATAGAGAGCTGAAGCAAGATGCCCGCTAGCTGACTGTACAGTAGTTCAAGCCTGCCTTCGTCGATGTTTGGGTCTAGAACCCCACGCACCTCTATCGGACAATCGGGTGTGTTAAGAGCAGCGTACATTTTTGTTTCGTGCTCGATATATTCCATCATGATAAATGAACCAAGTTCGAGGGGGCTCTCTTGCTTTGTACCCGAGTGAAGAATGAGAGGAAGGGATATTATTGTCTGATCCATGAGAAATCGCATTGTAGCAACTTCATTCATGACTTTCTCCTCAGGGAACATAACGGCACCAGCCTGTGACAACCGAATCACAGTAGCTCCATTTCGGTACTTTAACCGCACGGATATGTTGTAAGATCCTCTGTCGAGTAGATCAACCTCGATAGCACTGCCTCTGTTGTGAGTGAGCATGAAATCTGCGAGCGGTTTCAAGATATCACGTTGAATGAATTGAATGAGCCATTTGTCAGACGTTTCCTCAGATTTTCAACTTTAACGAATAGGATCTTCTCTAATAAAATATTACTTCCTTATAAGGCTCTATATCTGCTAGCTATCAATATAACGGTGTAGAAATATGTATATAAATTTCCTGATATAGCTTGTGTGGGCCTAAGTCTATCTCGTTATTGGAGTTGGTAAGGTGATTTATTTCGAATTCCTCAACTCTTCAGGTAGATGATACCGACCCACACGTGTTAAGCTTTTCATTATCAAACTGTATGGATTTGTCGTGGATTCTACCCATATGGTTGGAGGACGACTACACCCAAAACACCAGTAAACGTACCTAGAATACAGTACCGCCCTATAGTTTATCACCTATAATCAATTCATTCTCAGATGATATATCAGAACTAGAATTGCAAAGCAAGTCACCAGTTTAGCCGTATAGCAGCACAGTTCTAGCAAAGCAGCGAACACGCGAACGCCCCGGTATAGCTCCGAGGTAGAGAAAATACGAAAGTCATTTTGAAATCTAAATAAAACATATACCCTGCGAGTGTCTTAGATTTTTCCTTAACTGTTTTCATGAGAGAATCCTCAATGCCTATGTAGGTAGTAGGTCAATATCTGCGGTCAGCGGTAGCGCGGTGGGGTATCACAGTCTTATCTTCGACTTCGCAACTTCGCAACGTCCAACTCATACCAAATACCAACCCATAGCTACCCAGCCGAAATGACTCTTACCAAGCTCAATTTCATCACCGGAAATAAAAACAAGCTCCTCGAGGTGAGGGATATCCTTGGCAAGGTCATACAAGTAGACAACCAGGAGGTCGATGTCCCCGAGATCCAAGGCACAATCGAAGAAATCGCCAAAGAGAAGGCCAGACGTGCTGCCGAGGCGGTAAGTACTTCCTAGACATTTCTTCTTCTTCTAAAATTATATCTGCTTACGAAGGAGTAGATCAATGGACCTGCCTTGACCGAAGACACTGCGCTTGAGTTCCATGCGCTCAAGGGTCTCCCTGGGCCATACATGTACGTCTTTGCTATATTAAGGCTTACTCGATGATAATAATACTAATTATTGTCAAGCAAATATTTCATGGAGAATGTGGGCCATGAGGGCTTGAACAAAATGCTTGATGGCTTCGAAGACAGGACTGGCGAAGCTGTGTGCACCTTTGCCTTTTGCCGGGGCCCTGGTGAAGAGCCAATTATTTTCCAGGGAAGAACTGAGGTAAGGCAGATACAGTCATTCCAAATCTATATAAATCTAAATGCGATATACAGGGTACTATTGTGCGGCCCAGAGGTCCAGCAAAGTTTGGTAAGTGAACATCCAACCGAGTTTTGCAGAGAATCAAGTTCTGATATACGGCAGGCTGGGATGCTATCTTTGAATATAATGGCAAGACATATGCCGAGATGGACAAAGAGGAAAAGGTAAGAACGATCTTGGTTCCCACGAAAAAGCCATGTACTAAATCTTGCGAACAGAACAAGGTTTCGCACCGGTACAAGGCACTGGTCAAGTTGCAGCAGTGGCTAGCTGAAGGCCAACAGTAAATCGTCATGGGTATATAACTCGGCCCGCAAAAGACCATAGAAGAATGAGAAACGAAGATCAAAAATTTTATATGGCCCGACGAATTCCCTCAATCCGCATTCTCCGCCTTCGATTGCTTCCATGATTCGACCCATTGTGCGATTCTCTGGCAGTTCGAGTCCACATCCGCATCCTGCTCGCTGTTTAATTCTACCACTATCTCTTCGTCAAATGCCTCCCGCGCTTCGTCTGATAGGACACCGAAGATTTCTGCATCAACGTTTTCATCTAATTTTTTCTCATGGTAGCCACTTTGAAATAATCATGTTAGTTTGACCGTGTAGATAGGTTTGCGAGGCCGATTGTCATACCGTGCGGAAAGTCGGTCATATAGAACATCCGTAGTGGGGCATCGGAGGACAACGACGAGGTCGATCCAGGACTTGGGGAAGAGGTCGCAGGCGTGCCAGTCGATTAAGTAGCCGCCATTAGGAATTTCATCTTCGAGGGCATCGAGGAGCTACGCCGCGCATGGATTAGCATGTGGAATTTTGAGTCTTGAACCAATTGCGGAAAGAGTAGTAATTTAGGCAAAGAGGAGAGAATCGTGGGAAGCATTCTCACCTTATCCTCATCAACCACCCAAGTCTTCAATTCTTCGTCATATTCATCGAAGCACCCACGGTCCTTTGCGACCTGGTTAATAGACAGGTGCTTCAGGCCAATCTCTTGCGCGAGTTGTTCGCAGTGGACGGTCTTCCCCACGCCGGGGGTGCCGGTGATGATTATATTCGGAGAGGTGCGCATGTTTTCTTAAATAGGAATCTTAGCGGAATTGTAGATTTGTAGATTGAAAGTGGTTTCCCCAGATGAAATAATTCCATCGGACTAATTTTCGTCCCGGCTATCTTATCGTGGAGGGGTAAGTTACCGCATCTGGAATGTATAAAAGACATTTATAGCAACTTCAATATTGGCTTTGTTTTCTTATTATTACTCATGATACAAAAGACATATAGTGTCAATTGAATATCATTGCTTCTACGTGGCTTCATGTTTTGGGCTAGTTACACATAGCCTAGTACTGATTAGCATTAGAATAATTGAAGATTGACCACCACTTACTTGAGAAGCTCGAATATCTTGTACTTTTGCAGATAAGGCGTCCCCCTGCGGTATGCTTTGAGAAGACGAGTGGGATCTGAGGGCTTGACAAAGGCCCTAATCAGACGCTCCATTGCAGGGGAAGTCTTGAACATGGGATCGAATACCAGCAGATTTGCGCTGCCATTGTCTCGTATTTCAAATCCGACAATTGTCATGGAATGACCTGACTCGAGTTAGAGAGATACATATATACGCCGGAGCTCTTAAGAGGTTGTACCTTGATGTTGGAAGTATATCGGAGGGAGCTCAGTTTGGACGATCTTCGTCTCGTCTTCTGGTGAGCACGCTGATCGGAAGTAGTCGGCGACATCAATGTAAAGAGCATCACAGGCTCGTACATCGTTTGTCTCTGACAGACTCCTCGCTTCACATCTGGAGATTGCGGTTAGTGAGGTCGAAGTGAAGCAGGCTAGATGACTCACGGGATTCCTAGGCTCATGAAAAGTGCTTGTGCCTGGGTGCTCGTTAGCATATAGAGGACAATCGATGATGAAAGACTTACTTCTGGTGTTCCAATAAACTTGCGTGTGCCTTTAATACCACCCGTCTCAGCTCTTCCAGAGCTATTGAACCCCATATCCCAGGCCGATTCGATCATATCCTGGAGCTCAAGGATTGTTGGTCCCTTATTTGGGAAGTGCTCATGGCCAAAGCCACGAGTCTTTTTCAGCCAAGAAACCAGCATTTGAATATTGCGATAGCCACAAAAGCCGCCTTCTCGACGCAGCTTGCAGATATGGCGGACTTTGGGGCTACAGAAGAATGCCCGCCGGACGGACTTGTCCTGTTCACAGAGCCGAGCAAGAGCAGGAATAAGATGATCGGTTTCATTTTCTACTGTCTCGCGTCGTGTGAATTTGCCGTCCGATGTGATTTGGGTTTGCCTTGATGTGCTGCCGCCCTTTTCCAGCATTTTCTTTAGCCATGATGGCATTTTCTTCTCGTGGGCATGAGGACCCAATTCTGAGCGCTGAAAAATTGTTACTAATTATCTCCAAAGATTCAAACCTGGGACAAATACCCCTAATCTCTTTGTGCCATCGGCATTAGTTGTCCTTGGGGGACTGTGAGGCCGTGGTGGCTTGGCAGTGTTTACTCGAGAGGAGTCTCGTTGCATCCCACGTTTGCCTTTGCCTCCTTGATAGTTGTCGAACATGTCGAGGGAATCTTCATCATCAAATGACCGATCGTCCCTACGGTCATATACGTCTGCAGTTGAGCGTGCGGGTGTGGCCCCCATATCATCCAACGCCATGTCCTCTGCAACATGCAGATCCAGGTGACTTGAGAGCTCGGCACTTGCTATTGTCTCACCACATCCATGTGGACAATCGACATATTTGTCTGCACCATCCTCATTCACTGGCAGTGTAGCCGGGTTTTGGCTGGTGAATTCTTGCGGTTTATCCTGAAGGAAACCAGTTACCCCAGCTTCTGGATGACAGAATTCGATATGTTGGGACACAAAATTAGCATCGGAGTCTGTGAAAGGGCAAAAAGGACATGAGGGGATGTTGTTGTCGGCCATTATGGAGTTTTCATTCAGTGCTGACCCTGGTGGGGAAATTGTTAGGTTGATGTTTGACAGACACCGCTTGGGAGAGGAGCAAGACGCGTATATGTACAGAGTGCAGAAAAAGAAAAAAAGGGAAGCTAAAGTTGATCAAACAAAGTAGAGCTAGGAGTATAGACAAAGAATTAATTTGATGCCTAAACGAGCAGAGTGGTGCCTGTTCCCCGAGACCCACATACGGCAGATTTTAGCGTCCAATTCATACAACATACAATATCCACTGCTCTTGGATATATTCATGAAGTATCTAATTATTATATTATCCAAAAATTCATATCATCGTAAAGATGGAAGATTTACAGATTTCCCGTCGTTCCCACCCTACTCTAGCTAGAGATAGAGACGCGATGTGCTCGGCTCACTAACATCCTCCGAGGTAAATGTGCAATGCAAGAAACTAACTGCCCCGAAATCATTCACATCTAGCCCCGCAGCCAAAGATAGCCGTTGTTCATGACTTTCAAGACTTGATCGAGGTTCGTACTCAACACCAGTCGTTATTGTGTTTGAAAAAATGCCATGTGACAAGACCCTATCTGGAACTTCGCCCCATTGCACCGGTTTTAGTGCATGGTCGATCGCTGTAGTCCTGGGATGACATGCAGCGCTGATTGCCGCACTGCACTGTCCAGCTAGTGGCATGTGCGATCTGAAGCGACGCAAGCCCAGAAGTAAAGCGACGATAGGTAGCAAGCCACCAACGACTATTCCGAAAATGATGGCAACAGGCGAATAGCCGCAAGTCACGAGGACGCCTGGGTAGCTTTTTTGAGGTACTCCGTGACGATCGAATGGGATCACTTGGACGAAGAAAAAGCTCTGAGATACAAGCCAGTGGAGAACAGCTGAGACTACCAGTAGCGGGATACTGTACCGGTATGGAAGACTGAGGTAGTATGTTGAACGCTGTGCGCCGCGGGGCCAAGATACGCGGAGGGGTTTTTGCTCTTTGGCATAGTCATCGTACTCGACCGCGCTGAGCATGCAGGTCAAAAGGCCGTTGTAAAAGAAGTAAGCCAAGGAGACTAGTATCTGAGGTATGTTGGCCATGAAAACCATGGAAAATATCCCACTTGCGGTAGCAGGAATGCTCAGGCCATATAGGGTAGTTGCTGCGCTTGCATCTCCCAGACCAGACTCCCATATGTTTTTCGATTTAGAGGCTTGGTTGTAATTGAGAATTCCTAGGCGAAGAAGAACGACAGATGGGATCAGCATGCACACGAATCTAATTGGAATCAGTTAACTTCTCACTGAGATCATCATTGTCACCAGAGGGGTGAGTAGCATACAGGAGAATTGTGTATATCCAGCGTGACATGCTCGCAGCTTGGAACCATCGTTTCCTAGAAGGCAAACGAAGCGGAGTCTCTTGTTTGGTTTCCAGAAGATCCCAAGATTTGCGTTCACGGCCCTTATATTTCTGCCATCCTTGTGTTCTCTTGTTGATCAGAGGCCCGGACAGCAGACAAGCACCTTCGGTGGTTGGGTCTGGTTCGGCAAGGAAAGATGAAACCGCGTCTCCGGTGGTGAGGAAAATATCCTTTCTGTTCTCGCGCGCCGCTAATAGCGCGCAGATGAGCTTGACTATATTGCAACCAATTACAATCAGGCAGATAGGTGGGCTAAAGAATAGCTGACAATTCTCCTTAACTGGCAGAGTCATGCAGTGATCGATTGAATATGATCGTGAAGTCTGTTCACCATAGGTTCTTGGATATGTGCAGTCGGTTTCACCTTTGCGTACTATCACACTACCTGGGAACGAACTGTTAACCCAACCAGAAGGATTATTTAGTTCGTCTTGCAATTCCTCCAGGGAAGGATCTTTATCCAGAATATTATCAAGATGGTTATAATCTTCAGTTTCAGGAACGCCGTAATGTCCGACATCTAACCAGCCTTCGCTCTCATAGATTCCGCCTGGGATAGGCACCGCCAGACGTATGGTGGGACGCGACCACGTTAATGCGTGAACAGACCAGTTCTGGGTGTTTTCTTCGGCGACACTTTTGGTGCAAGGATATTTCCCGGCACACAGCCAGCTGAATTGAGAATTACCACTGTCAAAGCCTTGGTTATTTCCGGTTCCTATCCAGGCCACAGACTCGTTTTGAGGCATCAAGTCCTTGGTCACCAGAACAATTATTCCGTACCCAGATGCATAGTCTTGAGCAAAGATATCAACGCATTCCTGCTTGGAAAGAGTGTTGAAACTCCCATCACGGATCGCACCATTGAATGATTGCAATTCGATCCCAACATTTTCCATGAAGCATTGCTCAAATTCCGTGGAGTTGCCGCGTTCCTGAATAAGCCTATCCTGTGCTGCAACGACTGAGTATTCCGTTGGACCAATGGAGAAATAGACGGCTGAATTGTAACTAGTAGAGGCTCAGATCAGCTTAAATGCATTGAAATCTGGATAATGTTAAACCACAAACATCAAATGGATAGGCAGCGACGTGATCAGCAGGATCAATCCCAGAAAGCGTCGCTTGCCTGTTTGATAGCGAAGAAGGTCCATGATGTTGGGGACGCCAATTCGAACCCATGTCTTTTGACTGTGCGCTTTATCCACCTGCTCTCGTGAAGGAGCTGCAAGGCACTGCATGCAGTAGTTGCTTGCCCCTAGAAGGGCAGTACTGAGAATGTTGATCAGGAGGTGCAATCCCGTGGTCCAATTCTTGGAAGTCGAGCATTTTCCCATATAGAGGGAAGCGAAGGAGAAACTCTGGCCACTGTTCCCTGAATATGCCAGACCAACAGCGATGACGGCGAGGACGATGTTTAAGGCGAGGACTCCACCAATGATCCATGAACAAATCACAACGCCCTTTATCCATCTGCGAATATGATCGGGATCGGTTAATTGTTGCACCTCCTCCTTGGGCGCTTTGCAATAATTTGGAAACCACGACCATGATCTAAAAACGGATAGTGATCGTGACTTCCTTATTGTCTCCTCAGCATCGTGATTTTGCCATTTGGGAGGCATTTTGGGGTCAAGTGCTGTCACGCTGTCATTGGTATTGGGAAAAGCCCTCCTACATCGACACAGAGTGTCAAAATCTTTGAAAGTGAAATCCGGGGAAATCAGGTAGGAGACTATGGCCCTGTTATTTAATGGAATGTCAAGCTGTGACATCTTGGCAGTGATAATCATCTTCCTGATATGGCAATAGGACAGGGCTGTGTTGTCCCTATTTCTGTCAAAGATCAGCGGGTAGAACACTAGGTATACATTCGTGGGGGCCATTTGCTACCTAGGTAAGAGGCACTGCTTACTTGCTCACAGCCTGCTTTTCTACTGCGTATATTGTACATCTGCAATTATTAGCATTTCTTACAGATCGACGCCTACATAGAGGTTGAGTCATTTAGTTTAGTCTCCAACATTTGGAAGTGGCGAATGGCCTGGCTCGCCGAGTCTTCCCACTTCAACATATTCAGCAAAATCTTAAGAAAAAAAGAAAGAAAAGGAAACAGAAAAAGCTGGTCAGTCTCTAAGAACGATACTCATCCTTTTCATATAAGTGTGACAGCATAGAAGTGGGATCCGCCAAAAGTGTTGCTGGCGTGTCAAATTCAACAACAAGACCTCGGTCCATCACCGCCACTATGTTACAGCTCAATCTCACAGATCAATGCAGTGTCAGAGATCGCAGCGATGTCGTCATTTGGAAGAATCGTTGATTGTGAGAGAATTTCAAATCTTCGAGATTGTTAGACTGGCTCCTTTGACAGGTGATGAATGGATCCTCGGAGATACCTAAAGTCTAACATAGGGCATTTTGCCAGGCTGTTTTTTCAACAGTGTTCCGTTCACATTCACATTCACTAGGAGCTACCCCCTCTTTACTTATCCTCTACGGTCAGGATCTGCTACTATCGTTGATAATGAATCACTTTCTTTTCTGTTCACTCCCATCGTTACTGGCCTTGGTTGCATGCCCAGCCGTGGTACGCTATTCGAGATGCCGCTGCTTCCAATGACCTTGAGAAGCGTGAGCCTCAGCCTCAGTACGCTATTAAGGATTGCTCTGGCGATGCGCAAGAAGTCAATGTATACAACAATACGTGCCGGAATATGGAAGTCCCGAAAACAAGCTCTTTCCGAGTCCTGTCATATCGAGTTCATTCTCAGCGAGTTGCCCTTTATGAACATAGCAAGTAAACTGGAGGACAATTATGGACCGACTTCTGGGCGGACGGTGGAAGCGATACATTCAAGAGGGGTGCCTGCATCACTTTGGACTTTCAGTCGTCAGCTTATGGTTCTCATTCAGCCTAGTTGCAGATTTAGAACCACAAGTACTAGGTAAGCTTTGTTTCAATTGCGAGGTAAAATTCAAGAATCGTCTAATTTTGTTATTATAGGTGTAGGTCTGGAGCATCGCTTGAGATTCGGGTCCGTGTGGGTGGTATACTAATCATATACTAATCAGTCATAGACAGCTTGGAATCAAGATGGATGGAGTTATTGTCGTTGATAACCCTTCAATAAAGCTGGTACAGCTTTTTTGAGATATTACCTTCCTCATAGTACTAGTAGCAAGTAAAATGAATCAATATTGGGAATCAACGTTGGGATGCAATGCTTCTATACTCCGGAAAAACATTCGTCCCGAAAAAGGCCCAATGAGGGGCCGTTTCATATGAAAATGGCGTGATTGGTGGGCCCTCCGACATCGTTTGGTTCCTGGCCGCAACAGGCAGGCGGTATCCACATGCATAACTCTATTGCCAATTGAGTCACAAAAAAAAAAAATATGCAGCCCGAAGCGGCCCCAATGGTCTCCGCTTTCGCCGGTTTCCCCTCCAAAACCACTTCCCACTCCCTTGCATTACATTGTACACTGTCTTTACTTATTTTGGGTCGACACTATGGCTACCACCGTTCTTAATTCGAATTTGCCAGTGACCGCGCAGGCTCACAGCAATTGGGTCGTGCAGAAATTCGGAGGCACTAGTGTGGGCAAGTTTGCGCGCAATATCATTGAGCAGGTGGTCCAGTATGACGCATTTTCTCGATTTTCGATTTTGACTTGGAGACTGATAATCCTACAGACCCAGCCTTTTGAACAACAGAGTTGCCGTCGTATGCTCTGCGAGAAGCAGCTCTACCAAAGCTGAAGGCACCACTAACCGGTGAGTCATCGCGATGTTCGGCCAGGTCATGATTGAGATACTAATACCAATTTCTTCGGACAGGCTATTGCGGGCAGCGCGGGACGCTGAGAATCCTCGTTCGCGGCAATATCTGACATTGGTGGAGGCTGTTCGTTTGGAGCATGTTCAAGTCGCCCAGGAGGAATTGCAGTCGGTAGAAATAAGAGATCAACTGATTGCAGACATTACTGAAGAATGTGAGCGAGTACTCAAGTTCCTAGAGGCCGCTCAGACCCTAGGAGAGATTAGTGCGCGCTGTGTGGATAAGGTGATGAGCACCGGCGAGAAACTGAGCTGTCTGCTCATGGCTGCTCTACTACAAGACCGCGGGGTTGATTCGCAGTATGTGGATCTTTCTGAAATCATTGATTTCCCCATCGGTGCCCATGGCTTGGACCAGGACTTCTATAATACCCTGGCAGCAGCTTTCGGCAGCAAAGTTGAGGCCTGCGGGCATCGAGTACCTGTGATGACTGGGTACTTTGGTACCATCCCCGGTGGTCTGCTCGATCAGATTGGTCGTGGATATACCGATCTTTGTGCCGCCCTTGTCGCCGTCGGAACCCGCGCCCAGGAGCTGCAAGTGTGGAAGGAGGTGGATGGTATATTTACCGCGGACCCGCGTAAAGTGCCAACGGCTCATCTGCTCCCGACCATCACCCCCGCCGAAGCCGCTGAATTGACCTTCTATGGATCCGAAGTCATTCATCCGTTCACCATGGAGCAAGTCATCCGTGCACGGATCCCTATTCGCATTAAGAACGTCATGAACCCAAAGAACGCGGGCACTATTATCTTCCCCGACTCTGTGGCCGAACTGGAGAGAACCACACCAGGACATGACCCACGTCTGTTCCGGACCCGGAGTCCCAGTCTTGCGCAGACACCGAAACGGCCGACCGCGGTCACCATCAAGCATAATATCCTGGTGATCAATGTGCATTCCAACAAGCGGTCGCTCTCTCATGGTTTCTTTGCCGGCATTTTCTCAGTATTGGACAAGTGGCGCCTATCCATTGATTTGATCTCGACCAGCGAGGTCCACGTATCCTTGGCTCTCCATTCAGAAATGCCCCTGCTGAATGGAAATGGACAGGATGAGTATCAGGTCATCAACGAGGATCTGCAGGGGGCATTGAATGACCTGGAGAAGTACGGAACTGTGGATATCATCCCTGAGATGGCCATCCTCAGTCTGGTGGGCAAGCAGATGAAGAATATGGTTGGAGTTGCAGGCCGTATGTTCACCACTCTCGGGGAGAACAGCGTGAATATTGAGATGATCTCACAAGGTAAGTGAATAATTGCCGATTCCGACTCCCCCGGCCCCCTCGCTCTACTTTGTGACCTTGACTGGGGCTAACTGGATCTTTCTTCCCCCTCGCAGGTGCAAGTGAAATCAACATCTCCTGCGTCATTGAAGAACGCGACGCCGACCGCGCCCTGAATATCATCCATACGAGCATGTTCACCTTTTTGGACTAAACGTCCCATATTTGCGCATCGAGCAAAAAGTCATTGTTGTTTAAGATATCCCTTGGGTTTTATTTGTGATAGAAAAAAGTTATGCATCCACCCGAAGTCATGGCCCCTGTCTTTAGGGGGCACGGCTTTTGTTGGGAAAACCAAGCATAGGCTTTCTTTTTTTTGTGATGCATGGGCTTGGCGTTGTCTCCCATTTTGTCCGGGTTCTTTTTTTTTTGGTCTAGAATAGAAATCATGAAGCGTTCGTTTCATGAGGGATGATTTTCTCTAGGTGTTCTGCGATAGTTCAAATTACACCTATATCGTATATATCAGATTTCCGCTTCTTAATCTATTTACATCGTATAATCAATCGCTTTTTTTTTTGGCTCCGCGAATAGAACTAAGTATACTGGGTACCCGTGGACCTCCTGTTCTACATTTGTAATACTATTTATGCATGGTATAAGCCGAATTCTCCATAGATATCATATGTCACCATATTCTACGAGTTAGCATGGTGCAAGGACCACCATCAGCTTGAATCTGGTTATTGTTATTGGCTTTCGAAATACTACTTACTGGGTTCTATCAATCTCGCTATTGGCATGTTGTCATTTATCCATGTTGATCGATAAAGTCAAACCAGCATTGACTTTAGCTAGATTGAGCCACCTAACATTGCTCTCTAGCTCGGCTTAAGATTCGGAGATTGCCACCCCTATAGTGATGGTATCGGGTTGTCCGCGAAGCCTTGTGGCACTGACCATCTCCTCGGCTTATATCTCCTTCCCTACCATTGTCATATTTTTCGCCGATAGTGGCTTCTGGATATTGATGATGGGAGAACGGAGTACTCCATACAAAGCACGCAAGACCTATTTGGTCAAGAACGAGGACTGTTGCGTCACCGAATTCTCCAATGGCTTGGGAATGGACAGATGTTATCATCTTCGGGAATAGAAGGTGGCAAATCCCAGGTCCCGTCAATCTGAACCGACATTTAATGCCCTCACGAAAACGGCAAGAGAAAAGCCTCGGTAGAGGGAATATAGTACGTAAAACTACAAAGGTACAGAGTACAGTGCATGAAAGCAGTACATAGGGTCTCTGATGTACAAGCAAGGGCATAGTGAGAGACTAGGGATCTCCCCTAGATTCAAACAATAAACATCCCGTTCTAGTTTTAATCCATTATACTCTGTATTCTGTACTCCATATTCTGTATACGAAGTTTTGACTATTAGGTTCCGGCACCTGCAGACAAGAGTGCAGGACATGCGTTGTACGATGTAGACCTGGTAAGTCGATTGGTTCCCGAAGCACCCGAAAGCAATTGGCCACTAGCCAAGGGCGTTAGGG